TAATTATACTTTGTAATTTATCCTTTAGCGAATCAATTTGTTGCAATCGATTGACGTTTGTATTTTGACAGATTATGTACGTTACTAAGAGTGGGTGTGTACCGATAACGATCTTGAAGAAATTACAGGTTAAAAACGCAGTAAGGTGCCCAACCACATTTTGTCAAAATAAATTTAATCAAAAAATAGTGAAGCAAATCATGTGATAATCAAAAATAAAAGATGTATGAGCATATATAAGCTAGGCTCATTTAATCACGAAAACAAACAGATTCCCCAGATAACTGATAATAAAAAAATTCCACCTAGTATACTTGAGTAAATGCCGTACACGTGTGCCGACATTGTGCTTCGATAAATAACTTAATCTACCATAATCAACATTCACATGCAATAAGCTGATACAAGTAAATTACTAAAACAATGAGCCCTTAGTAACGGTCACGCGGAAGTACTTTTTACCGTGATAGAGTGAACTTATGCGATTTACGTGCATTAAAATTGCATTTCGTCAATACATACCTACAAAGGGAAAATGACTGATACATACACTAGAGTTAGTTAACACTTGGACCTAATCAAATGTCTTGTGTGTGATGTCATTATCTTAAAACTTTTCACGTCCTGCTTGCTATAGTCATTACTAGCACCAATACATTTTTGCAATAGCTCTTAAATCTTTCAATTTAATTGAAACCGGTTAACATTGCTTTGATTTTTGCCTTCACATGGGACACAGCCTCGTGAATGCCGTCACTTATAGTGGCACTATCGTAAACTAATTCAGAGAAATGACATGTCAGGTTCACAAATTTAGGATCAAATCCAAACGTCCGAGTAAAACCAAAAAGCAACGTTTTTGTACAACAAAGATTACAAACAATTTCGATAGACTATGGTTGGGACATCATCGCACATTTTCCTGATTCCAATACGCCTGCAGTCGAAGAAGACTGGAAACCTTCGATTTGTTAAATAACATTATGACGGACAGACGGGATTCATCGTCATCTATTCATTTGGTTTTACATTCTTAAGAAGATTTGACTGCTTAACAGGAAGCGAATTCATGAAAATAAAATTCAAATAACCACGACAGCAGCACTGTAAAAGCAACAACAGGACGAAAAAGTAGTTACACCAAGAACAGTAACAACAGCAACAGCAGCACAGAATAACAGCTAACCAGTTTTAACAACACCAACTGCAACAACAACAAAGTAACATCAGTAGCAAAAGCAACAATAACATCGACGACAACAACAACACCGAAACCAGCAGTAGTAGAAAACAAAAGCAACAGGAACAACTTGAACAGCATAAATATTTGCAGCAACAATAACAGCGGATAGAGTAACATCGCTTGCAGAAACAACGCCACCAGTAACAAACAGCAGCAATTGAAACTGAAAATGATAATACAATGAAAATAATAGAATTAAATACAACAATAACAAAATGACAAATTAAATAATATAACCATTTACAACAATATCAGCATCGATAGTCAGCTTTTACAGCCCACGAGTACGATATAAAGACGCTTTCACGTCTTCCCTGTGCCTACCGCACCCGCAAATGGTGGCTTCGAGCGCGACATGCCCGCGGCAGTACCCCTTTCGCGGCTTCACCTACAGGGAGGGGTTGAGCACGACCGTACCATAAAAATTAGGATCAGATGAAGATGTGGGCTTGTATGCTTCAACGTTAGCTTAAGTATACTAGGACTGGCCTTTTTCTATGATCCAGTTATCTAGGGCATAGTTTATTTCTCGCAAATTTTGGGGCATTTTTATACCGTGTACAAATTATATAAATATAAATTTTAAATGTGATTAGAATATTTATTCGATGGTGCGAGAAATAAGTTATTATAGACAAGATGGAAATAAAGAGGCAAGACAAAATGAGGAATACAAAGAAATGTATCTTAAAATGCCCAATGGTTTTGCAAAATGCCCGCATCAGGATCATAACTTTGTGTGTACTTTTTTGAATGTAAATTGCCTGGATTTCCTGGGAGTTCGATCGTAGGATACTCAATTATCCCTCATGTATATACAGCTCAGCTTACACTTTAACAGCCTTTGTGGGTAATGAATGAGCAAATGACATAATCGAATGAGTATTAAGCCAACGGTAGGCTTTAACTATTTATACCAGCTATGATACTTAGTTATTTGAGTGGCCATTGATATTGGTAATGAGCTGAATGTTGCATGTAAGATGCTTTGTCAGTGGCTCTATCCGCTTTCAATCTTATCTCCAGATACAGGTGTACTTGCGAATTTTAAAAGCCACTACATAGGTTCTACCTCCACAATTATCCGTGTACCTACACCTACACCCTTATTATTTGTACTAATTTGCATGGTCGACACCAATAGTATATATCTAAATTTATTAAAAAGAATACCACGAACATACTTTCAAATAAAAAGTTGGGCATTCAGCGACGAATTTACCGTCACGCTTGGCAACACCGGAGGCGCTTCCTAAGTAGTTATATGAAAGCGAAAAAGCTTCTGCAGATTTGCGTTTGCCTGCGCTCGTCGGAATAAATTCACTTTGAGTATGAAAATGTGTTTACTTATCGAGTGTGCTTGGAGAGCTTATAGAAGAATTCAACAAACAGAGCCACTAACGAACAATCGCTAGTAAGTAAAATAGAGATTTTTTAAAGTTGAATGCCGTAAAAGATATCCGTTCAGTCATTTTGTGGTACCTATTCAGTGAGAAGTCCATGCAACCAGCATCGGGAACATCTACTGGCATGCGAAGAGGAAGGCGTTGTACTACTCAATAAGATGTTTCAGTCGCGCTAAGTGTTGATGATAGTGTAGGAGGTTATAAAAGGGGCCCAAACCGGCGGTCATTCTTCGGTTCATATTAAGAACTTGTGAAAAATGGCCTAATACTAATCACATATGAGCTGTTCAGACTAATTGGGATATGGAATTGGAAGAGCTGGACGGGAGCAGCGAACGGAGCGGTAATTTGCTGGGGTGATTTTTGAACTAAATTCTTGTGATTGCATGCTTCTCTTCATGTAATGTACCTACATTCCAGATCATTGGTGTCACTGACATCGCCAGGAGTTGTAACGAAGCCCGCATCGTGTTTTCACGTACAAACGACTTGAAGAAGACACCGTTAAAGTACACAGTTGTAGTTTCTGGATTGGGAACTACTTACGCATCGTCGTATGCTTTTGTTGTCAGTAAAAGTACGGCAAGATACCTTTGGGACCTACACTTAGCTAATAATAATTTTGTCGCGCATACCGGATGTGCCTTCACCTGCACAATTTTTTTAGATTTAAGAAATTCTTATAATTCAGCGTCAACTATCTATCTTGGTCTGCCGCTGCAACTTGTGGAAGACCATTACTAAATAGTGTGAGCAATTTATAGATGACATTTACAGAATACGATCAATGAGTGGTTTGTTTCAAGGCGCGCGTTTACCTAGAAATGATTCTCGCAGAATTGGTAAGAACTGAAGCGTTCAACCTCCTGATCAACATCGCGCACTCACACAAAAACGGTTTTGCTCGGACAATATTTCCTGTGTCTGTACATAACGCAGGGTGTACATAACACGTCGCACTAAGTGCGATCTGAAATATCGTTTGTAGTGTCCGTGATCAACACTGGGTGTACCTTGCACGTTAAACTGAGTGCAATGTAGTATTTTTTCCTTTTGTAAATAGCTAGGCGTACCTTTACGTTGTGATAAGTGTTATGTAGTCCGCCTTTTTCGCATAGATAGATTTTCATTACAGGTATCACTCTTTTTTAATGTCACTAATTGCGACCGCGTGCAGTGTTTGTCACGCACATGCTTCAGGGATCACACATGATCAGCTCTTGAGCTGATCATGAGCGACAAGATAGAATATGATGTAAATAAGTAAATTCTCGGTACTAAGGGGCAGAAAGTCTCGCACTTCGGTTCAAACGTAATTATATTCTTTGTCCGTTGGTCCTTTCTATTTTAAAGGTAAAACTATTAAAACTCATGCGCTCTCGGCGACAGTGGAAGATTCCTCTATTTTATGTCACTTTTTAATAAGAATCAAGTATAAGTGGTCGGTCGCTCTTCGCCCCGACAGCGTTACCGAGTAGGATAATCTGAATAATGTTTCAATCGTGCTCGTCTTCTTAAAGACTGATTAATTTGAACAACTAGGTGTAAAACGCATTAAATCATTAGCATTGCAATGGGGTGAGTCCGTTGCAGCAAACATTTACGCATGGAAATATCTAGTGCGAATATTATGCTAGCAAGGAATCATATTCTTATAACTATTATATCGCATGACAGTGCTCTGCAGTAGTAATACACTGCTCACTGGTGGATACAAGTAATGACATCAACCAATGTTACCGAGCATGACAGAAGAACACAAAGAATGGTAAGCAGACACTGACAATGCATGAGCTTATTCAGGAATAGCTAAACGAAGCTTAAATATGGTTACTAAAGATAACTAACTTTACTAAATAAGGTTCTACTTTTTACCTTCAGGAAGTACCCTTACTTTGTATTATAACATTCCTCTACACGTGCGTGTACGTGAAGTTCCGAGGCACCCACCTTCTCACTCCATGTTCAGTGTAAGCAGTTTGTACTGTAACAGTACATAGCCGGCCCCTCAGATGGGTACGTAGTTGTACAGAACTAGGTTTGGGTCTCCGTGCCAAATTTTTTTTTAATTACACAAAGGCCGGGATCCAGAGCTTGCCCCCCTTTTTTATAATACAGTAAATATTTTTTGGAAACTGCTATCGATCATGAAGACTGACCATTTTATGGAATAGGGTCATCCCGTCACAAACAGCGACCCTCAGGTAAACAACCTTGCCACAGAATGAAGAGACGCGGGAATGGATTTTGGAGCTGAACATCTTCACTGTGTCATCTGTCTACGCATTCTCCTTCTCGTCTGAGCGCTTGATGTTTGCAATGCTGAGTACCTTGATAGCGCGTCGAAATGATCAAGACAAGCCTTTTTGTCGGATCATTTCGACATAGCGCACGACTTTATCATACCTCTCCGGCAAACTGCGCAGCAGACGACTGTCCACCTCTTCGTCCTCCATCACGATGCCAGTACGGACAAGTTTTTCTGGAGTGAATTTAGGGAACTCGTTGTAGTAGTGCAACAGATTGTCGCCTTTTTCCATGACCATGCAAAAAATTGACGATTCAGGTAGACGCGGGCGGTCTCTAAGATCACTCATTAAGAGCCCCGAGACGTGACCAGGCGACCCACCCTTTTTCGTAGTCGTCCACCAGGAGATGGCACTCTGTCTCAATGTGCAAAAGTAGCAGGCCTATAGCGATGTTGTTCTTCCTCACCTACTTGTCCTGGACTCGAGTTGCGGTAAAAGTCGCCGCCGACTCGCGCTTACGACGTTCCATGACGACTCCGTCAGGAGCTCATCGCGCATGTAGTGTACCCGTGTCGTATAATTCACCGTGCAATTTGTCGATGACCTTCTTTCGTTGGGTTGGACATGGCGCAAGCTCTATTTGGTCTCATGACGTGATAAGAATGAGGACGACGATGTTGTTTGGAGATTGCAAAAGAGAAAGTGATCGATTAAGAGCTTGCTTCAGATGTACACGCTACGTCCAGGCCAATAGCCGCTCCTGCATCAATAGCCTCCTTTCGCTTGATTCCCATGGACGCCATGTTCTTCCATGATACGACAACCTTCGATGGAGCCACACGAACTACCGTTTACATCCGGTGCATTACGACCACGTTGCAGACATTCATGTGTTGCGTCAGAATACAGAAGTCCTTCACTGATGTGCAATGGGAGAACCAGAGTGCTACGAATGAAGTCTACGCGCAGCATGCGGCGAGTTCACGGACACGCACAGCCAGCGGGCCTTTCACCGGCAGCACGAAGGAAAAGTCGTAGGTGATCTCGAACGGGTCTTCCACTGTTTCGATCTCGAAGCGACTGAAGAGAACGGCCATGACAGTCTTCATCTCGAGCATGGCGAGACGCATGCCAATGCACTTGCGTGGTCCCGTGCTGAACGTGATGAACTGCGGCGGCGTGATGTTCTTGGGCGCTCCTGTTGCCTCGTCGAACCAGCGCTCGGGTCTGTACTCGGCCGCGTCGTCCCCCCACACGGTTTTGCGGCGGGCAGCTGCGTACTTGGAAACGACCACGACGGTCCCTTTCGTGATGAAAGCGCCATCGGAAAGCGTCGCGTCTCGAGTCGTGCATCGGTACGTGGAGACGGACTGCAGCCGCACGCTCTCTTTCACTGCGGCGTCCAGGTAGACAAGCTGCTGCGTCTCCTCAAGCGTTGGGACGTCCGTTTCTCCAGTCAAGAGCCCCGGGACCACGGCTCGAAGCTCTTCGCGAATCTTTTGCAACACGCGAGGGTGTCGGTTCATCATCACGATGAGCCACGACAGGCTGAACGACGTCGTGTCTTTCCCGGCGATGAAGAAGTTGACAGCCGTGTCCTGGAGCTCGCGCGGGTTCGCGTTGGCATTGTCCCTCATCAAGAGCGCCAAGACGTTGAGCTGGTCCTCGCCAGTCGATTGCGCCTCTCTCATGGATCGAACCATGATGTCCCGCACCATGTCATTCACGATGTTCATGTTGGCTCGAAGCCGCTTCTCCGCCCCAACGTTGAAGAACCGCTGGAGTTTCCACATCCACATGGGCGTCTGGAAACGGTTCTGCACGGCGCGCAGGGCGATGTCAAGAGGGTGCATCTCGTCCAGAAGCACATCGCCAGCAAGTTGGTCGAGCTCGACGCCGAACCCGATGCGAGTGAACACGTCACTCGTGAACTTGCCCAAGAGCGACTTCATGCTGACCGTCTGGCCACGCTTGGCACACTGGGCAAGGACGTCTCGCAGTTGCCGCGTCTTCTCGCGGATCACGGGCTCCATGACCTGCCGGATACTCTTGGTCGAGAAGAGGTGACTGGCAGCTCGACGTTGCTGCTTCCACTTGGCACCGTTCACATTGAGCAGTCCATTGCCCAGGACGTCGAAGGAAATGTCTTGGAGAGAGCTCCGCCCTTCTCGAACACGTCAAACTTGTCGACAAAGACGTCGTGGAGGTCGTTCGGCAAGGAGAGCACGACCCACGGAGGTTGGAAGAGCAGCTGGAGGAGCCACGGTTTGCCTCCACTTGCGTCGGTCTGGTCGTTGATCCAGTCGCTCATGCGGTAGCGATTGAAGAGCAGCACGTCCAACGTGTTGCCCAGGATCGGCAGTGTCGATGACGGTCGGAAGAGCGTCTCCATTCCTGGATCCGGCACTGGCACAGGCAGACTCAGGAGCTTCCACGAGGCGTAGACGGCCGTCAGTGCACCGACTGCCAGCAGGACCGATTGCTGCGTTCCGTCGTGACGTGCGCTGGACCACATTGAGCGGTTGAGGATCGATCGATTTGGGCGGAAGAGATCAAGTTGACGAGTGAAGAGGAGGAAGAGCTGCTGTGCATGTTGGTGATCCGCGGCATTCGGTTTGGTCTGCTGGGGTCACGCATGATGAAGACGCGACGTCGTTGCTGCGCTCCATGTCATTCGCGGTCTGCTGGAGTGATGACTCCAGCACGAGGAAGCGCCTTGCCCCGTTGATTGCAACAGAGACGCGGCCGAGCGGATCACACGAGTGGATCACCTGAGTCAAGTGCAAGGACACGACACGTCTCCGACCTGCGGTCAAGTTGACAGACGACGGACCGACCGACTGACTGACCGACTGACTGACGAGTGGACGTCAGAGTGGGACGGACCGATTGATTATCACACCTCTCCCTTCTCCTAACCTTGATTACTGTCAAGATCACGCTCATTGACCCATTGGTGTCTCTCTGTCTGACCCCTTGAACCACGACTGAGTCATGGGGAGGAGATAAAAGGGGAGGGGGGGGGAGCCGGAGGTGGTGGACGAGGCTGTGGGCTGGTGACCCCAGGACGGTGACGGACAGATTTGGTCAGTCTGCAGTCTACACGTCGTTGACGAAAAGCTCAAAGCTTTTGCTGCCTTCTGGCTCATCACCTCGGGGCAAGTGCAAGGAAGTGCTTGTGAGATCGACAGCGGATCAGATGCAGTGGGAGGTCCCGCGTATGACCACGGCGTAAACGACAGCAGTGCAGTGAGAACTGTAGCTACGAGTCGAGAGGAAAGCGGGACACGTCACCTGCCTCAGCACGTTTAGACTGTCACTGGCGTCCAGGAGATGGCGGTCTCCTGCACGTGGATGGGCGATCGATACCGAGCCACTGGATTGTAAGCCTGTCAACGACTCACTCAGCGCTTCTTTCCGACGTGAGCGACACTGGAGGGACGAGTCAGCCCGTCCCTGCTCCTCAGCCCGTCCCTGTTGTCGAAAGACTGATCAGAGCTTGCTGGGACGTCCTCATCACGTGACTGGGCGTAACCGAGTTGCAGCGCTGCTGTGGAAGCAAACGGACCCAGCCAAGAGGGAGGGGAGGACGCATGCACTGGACGGCTTTCGACACCCTTCCGTGAGGAACCAGGTGGGGTCGAGCTGCACTTCAAGGCGCCGAATCATCTCGTCTTTTGTATGCGGTCAGTGGCCGTCCTATCCTGCGATTGGATTCCGGGATTCCCCTCCCGGTTGGTTCCCTCCCTCTCCGCAGACACTTCGGCCCCGGACCTCCATCACCGGCCGACACCTGCCGTCGACAGTCGGTAGTATCTGTTTGGACACTACCGTCGCACCACGTGGCGTCACACGTAGCAGCTCCCTCAGTCTCCACAAGCTCGACAGGGTCCGGTCCATTCGTCAAGCCACCGCTCGCAGCACCAACCCCCGTCTCCCATGCTGCGTCGTGTCTCGAGTTGCCGGACGCACTGGTCCGTCCAAGAGCTCCGCTCGGTGCTGGTCCCTAAGGTCCGTTTCTCAGCAGCCCCTTCGCTCGAAGCTCTGGCCGCGCAGTCCATGGCGACGGCGTTTCGCCAATACGGCCACTTGGAGGCAGAGCTGGATCCACTGCAGCTCCAGCCACGCACGGCCGTTGCCAGTCTCGCCGTTGAGAACTTCCACCCGTTGCTCGACCGGTCTCTGGTCGCGGCAGATCTGGCTCGCGTTGTTGCGGTCTCGGCAGCCACTGGCCAGCAGCTCTACGATGAGCTGCACCGCGTGTACTGCGGCAAAACGGGCTATGAGTTCGAGCACTTGACGTCAAGGGAGGAGAAGACGTGGCTGGCCCGTGCCGCGGAGACTGCCACCACCACAAACGACGCGACGCCTGCCGACTTGCGCAATGCCTACTCGAGTATGATGCGTGCCGACGTGTTCGAGACCTTCATGGCCAAGAAGTTTGCGTCCTTCAAGAGGTACTCGGGCGAAGGAGCCGAGTCCATGCTGCCAGCAGTAGAGACGGTGCTTCAAGCGTGCACGACGTCAGGCATTTCGGACGTGGTGATTGGCATGCCGCACCGCGGTCGACTCGCCCTCCTCGTCGGGTCGCTCGACTACCCTGCACACAAGATTTTCCACAAGGTGCGCGGCTACTCGGAGTTCCCCGACAACTTCCGGGGCATTGATGACGTTTCGTCGCACATTGCCACGACAGTGGACAAGAAGTACGCGGGCAACAACGTGCACGTGTCACTCGTGCACAATCCGTCGCATCTGGAGATAATCAATGCTGTGGCGGCAGGAAAAGTACGTGCCAAGAACGATGGCGATAGCCATGCCAACGCGATGGCGCTGCTGTTGCATGGAGACGCCGCGTTTGCTGGACAAGGGTGTGTCACCGAGGCTCTGGCACTGTCGCAACTACCTGACTTCCAGACTGGCGGATCGGTGCACATTGTGGTGAACAACCAGGTGGGCTACACGACCACATACCCCGACGGCCGCGGTACGCGCTATGCCTCGGACGTCGCCAAGAGCATTGAAGCGCCGATTTTGCATGTCAATGGTGAAAGCATTGCAGACGTCGTGCGTGCGTGTCGTGTGGCGGTGGCGTACCGTAACGAGTTTCACAAGGACATCGTCATCGACTTGATCACTTTCCGTCGCCATGGACACAACGAAGTGGACGAGCCGCGCTTTACGCAGCCCAAGATGTACGAGCGTGTGGACCAAACGGAGCGCTTTCCAATCAGGTTCGCCCGCGAGCTGGAAGCGGCTGGTCTCGTCTCGCGCACGAGCTTTGAAAAGAACGTGGAGCGCCTGAACGAGCACCTGGAGAGCGAGCTCAAACTCGTCACGGGCGAACGTGGCTACATGCCCACGGAGATCGACGCATTCAAGGGCAAGTGGTCAGGTATGAGGCAGCCCGACCCTGAAGATTTGTACGTCAATCCTGTGACTGGCGTGGAGATCGACGAGCTGATTCAGGTCGGGCTTGCCTCCGTAGAATTGCCCGAGCGCATCCGCCCTCATGGTCGTCTGCAGCGCACGCATATCAAGTCGCGTCAGAAATCCTTGACACTGCAGGACGGAGGATCAAAGGAAGATTTGCGTGTCGACTGGGCCACAGCTGAGGCTATGGCCTTTGGCACGCTGATGCAAGAAGGTCACTCGGTGCGTCTCTCCGGTCAGGACTGTCGGCGTGGCACCTTCAGTCAAAGGCATGCTTCATTCACCGATCAGGACACAGAGGAGCGCTACTTTCCGCTACAGCACCACTTGCCCACGAAGTCTGATGTTGCTGGCAAGTTGTGTGTTGCCAACAGCAACTTGTCCGAGCTTGCTGTCATGGGTTACGAGTACGGCTACTCGGTGGAGAGCCCACGCAATCTGGTCATCTGGGAAGCGCAGTTTGGTGACTTCTTCAACGGTGCACAGATCGTGATCGATCAGTTCTTGTCGAGCGCAGAGTCCAAGTGGATGCGGCAATCGGGTCTGATGCTTTTGTTGCCGCACGGCAATGACGGAGCTGGACCTGATCACTCCAGCGGCCGGGTCGAGCGCTTCTTGCAGCTCGTTGACACGCCTGCACTGATCCCGCGCTCGTCAGTCCAGGAATCGAGCTCGGAGCCTTTTTGGAAGCAGTTCCAGCACGACACCAACATGATTGTGGTGAACGTGACGACACCGGCCAATTTCTTCCACCTCGTTCGTCGCCAGCAGCAGCGCTCTTTCCGCAAGCCCGTGGTCGTCATGGGACCAAAAATGCTGCTCCGACTTGCAGATGCGACGTCGCCATTGTCGGAGATGGGACCGGGCACCACGTTTCAGCCAGTGCTCTCGGACCCGACGATCACGGACCCGACACAGATCAAGACGGTGTATTTCTGCTCGGGGAAGTTTTTCTACGAGCTCTCGAAGGAACGTCTCGCCCGCAGCAAGAGCCCCGAGCGTATTGCACTGGTCCGTATCGAAGAGCTCGCCCCGTTTCCACTCAAGGACGTCGCTGACGAACTCGCCAAGCTCAAGAACGCAAAGCACTTTGTCTGGGTGCAAGAAGAACCACTGAACCAAGGCGCGTGGATGTATGCGAAGGATCACATTGAGAAGGTGCTGGACAAGAAGACGCAGCACCTGGAGTACATTGGCCGAGAGTCGCTCGCTGCTCCAGCCGTCGGATTGGCCAAGCGCTCGCATGAAGAGCTGGAGTTGGTGCTGACGAAAGCTTTTGGTCCGCAAAAATAGAGGCTCACCGACCCGTTTGTATTTGGTCTTCTGCTTTATTTGCGAACCTTCTGCTTTATTTGAGTCGCCAGTCTGTGGTGGGGTTTTCATCGAACGGGGCTTTTTGTCATTTCATCGCGTCGCAAGCCGATTATTCTCGTTCGAAGTCTTGTCGTGAACGGGTATATTTTCTAATATTTACTTACAGAGCTTTTCGATGCCCTGTTTCGATTGAATCCGCGTTCTGGAGCTTCAACGGTATAGTCAACTTCAATTACTTCACTAAAGATGGTCCGGTACTGGAAGTCGGATTTACAGCTGTACGAGAACCTTGTCAGCGTTAGCGTGTTAGCTATGTTCATGCACACACCACATCAGAAATTGCTGTTCGCGAAGCACCAGCCACCACGCTAGTCGTTTTCCTTTGCATATGTAGAAACCTTGGCATTATTAAGCACGTAGATTTGGTACTGCGGTCAGTAAGGCCATCTGATAAGATGCCACGTGTGGGACCTGGCCGGACAAGTCTACGTAGACTACTAGACCAGGTTGCTGCTAACCGTCAATGGACGAGGCACAAAAATGTGGTCATCTACGTCAATGTGTGGTGGCAGCACTCAAGGCACTACCATCGCTTTAACCTTTCGCCCAACCAATTCACGGCTGGTTACGGTTGATGAAGCGAAACAGAAGCTCATGTGATTAATATAATGCCGACTTGGTGAAAAAGTCGCGTTTCCAACAGTATTCAGTCGGCTGTGAAGCATGTTGACGTGTCAGGTTGCACACGTTGACTCCTACAACAGCCAAACGAGCGTAGCTAACGTAATGACATCATGCGCACCAAAAAAATGACATACGCATACACGGATGTTTCCTACGGGGTTACACATGTTGTGTTAGTAGATGTGTATGTGTGTACAAAGTGTTTACACACGGCAAGCACGCCGCTGATTCGTGCCAGGCTACTATCGAACACAAGTTCGCTCCGGATGCAATCCCTATAATCTTGGTGTCTCATACAGCAACGCACTCCAACTCAGAGTTCTACTGAGCCTCTTGGTGCACTGAGCTTTGCACAGCAGCAACTTTCTCCTTTCGAATCATCTTACAACTCGTCTTGTGATTCATCCAGTCCTCTACCTGGTGCTCTTTGCAGCAGTAAAATGCGGCTTCACACGCACATTGCAACAAACGCGTCGTCTCATCTCCTCCTGTCGAGTCCTTCTTCTCTGATCCACAGTATCGACAACCTACTTTCGCCGCACTGACATCGCTCACCACCCCTTGCTTCAAAAATATCGATTCAAACGTATGTGCCACATTAGTCAAGAGCGTCAGGATAATCTGCTGCCGCACTTGCAGCGTGAGCCACACGTCCGCCTCCATCAACTTGCCCTGTTTAATCAGCGCTCGCTTCTCCTCCACGATCTCACTCGGCGCCGAGGGCATCAAAGACTGGACAGTGTGCTCCGGGTCTGCAAGATCGATAAAGGCCAGTGACACGTGCTTCAACGCATCGCCCGAGAACGTCGGCATGGTACCGTTCGCACGCAGCGATGTTAGGTACAGCACATCGTGGCGACTGCACTGGTCCGTCTTAGTAGCACGTGCGTTCATGAGCCGCAGCAAAGCCTTCCCGTTCTCCTCCAGCAACGCACAAAGCGTCAGTTCAGGCGTGAGCAGCTGCGTCGCTTGTGGACGCGTCTCCTTGAGGTCATAAGACTGCGGAATATCAGGCGACGCATTGCGGAGAAGCGACACTTGACCAACAGAAGGGAGCGAGAGGAACCAGCGCATGAACACCGAAGCATTTGCGCGCCAGAAACGAGTCAAGTACTCGGTAGGTGATAAGACTGACTCCTCTGGTGTCAAGGCCGTCGACGGCTCAGCGGCAGCTCCAGCCATTTGATTTGTCAATGGTAGCGGCACTGAAGAAGGTCGATCACCGAGAGCGTGGGATAAAACCCAGCACGTTCAACACGATAAAACGACAAAAAGCCCCGTTCGATGAAAACCCCACCACAGACTGGCGACTCAAATAAAGCAGAAGGTTCGCAAATAAAGCAGAAGACCAAATACAAACGGGTCGGTGAGCCTCTATTTTTGCGGACCAAAAGCTTTCGTCAGCACCAACTCCAGCTCTTCATGCGAGCGCTTGGCCAATCCGACGGCTGGAGCAGCGAGCGACTCTCGGCCAATGTACTCCAGGTGCTGCGTCTTCTTGTCCAGCACCTTCTCAATGTGATCCTTCGCATACATCCACGCGCCTTGGTTCAGTGGTTCTTCTTGCACCCAGACAAAGTGCTTTGCGTTCTTGAGCTTGGCGAGTTCGTCAGCGACGTCCTTGAGTGGAAACGGGGCGAGCTCTTCGATACGGACCAGTGCAATACGCTCGGGGCTCTTGCTGCGGGCGAGACGTTCCTTCGAGAGCTCGTAGAAAAACTTCCCCGAGCAGAAATACACCGTCTTGATCTGTGTCGGGTCCGTGATCGTCGGGTCCGAGAGCACTGGCTGAAACGTGGTGCCCGGTCCCATCTCCGACAATGGCGACGTCGCATCTGCAAGTCGGAGCAGCATTTTTGGTCCCATGACGACCACGGGCTTGCGGAAAGAGCGCTGCTGCTGGCGACGAACGAGGTGGAAGAAATTGGCCGGTGTCGTCACGTTCACCACAATCATGTTGGTGTCGTGCTGGAACTGCTTCCAAAAAGGCTCCGAGCTCGATTCCTGGACTGACGAGCGCGGGATCAGTGCAGGCGTGTCAACGAGCTGCAAGAAGCGCTCGACCCGGCCGCTGGAGTGATCAGGTCCAGCTCCGTCATTGCCGTGCGGCAACAAAAGCATCAGACCCGATTGCCGCATCCACTTGGACTCTGCGCTCGACAAGAACTGATCGATCACGATCTGTGCACCGTTGAAGAAGTCACCAAACTGCGCTTCCCAGATGACCAGATTGCGTGGGCTCTCCACCGAGTAGCCGTACTCGTAACCCATGACAGCAAGCTCGGACAAGTTGCTGTTGGCAACACACAACTTGCCAGCGACATCCGACTTCGTGGGCAAGTGGTGCTGTAGCGGAAAGTAGCGCTCCTCTGTGTCCTGATCGGTGAATGAAGCATGCCTTTGACTGAAGGTGCCACGCCGACAGTCCTGACCGGAGAGACGCACCGAGTGACCTTCTTGCATCAGCGTGCCAAAGGCCATAGCCTCAGCTGTGGCCCAGTCGACACGCAAATCTTCCTTTGATCCTCCGTCCTGCAGTGTCAAGGATTTCTGACGCGACTTGATATGCGTGCGCTGCAGACGGCCATGAGGGCGGATGCGCTCGGGCAATTCTACGGAGGCAAGCCCGACCTGAATCAGCTCGTCGATCTCCACGCCAGTCGCAGGATTGACGTATAAGTCTTCAGGGTCGGGCTGCCTCATACCTGACCACTTGCCCTTGAATGCGTCGATCTCCGTGGGCATGTAGCCACGTTCGCCCGTGACGAGTTTGAGCTCGCTCTCCAGGTGCTCGTTCAGGCGCTCCACGTTCTTTTCCAAGCTCGTGCGCGAGACGAGACCAGCCGCTTCCAGCTCGCGGGCGAACCTGATTGGAAAGCGCTCCGTTTGGTCCACACGCTCGTACATCTTGGGCTGCGTAAAGCGCGGCTCGTCCACTTCGTTGTGCCATGGCGACGGAATGTGGTCAAGTCGATGACGATGTCCTTGTGAAACTCGTTACGGTACGCCACCGCCACACGACACGCACGCACGACGTCTGCAATGCTTTCACCATTGACATGCAAAATCGGCGCTTCAATGCTCTTGGCGACGTCCGAGGCATAGCGCGTACCGCGGCCGTCGGGGTATGTGGTCGTGTAGCCCACCTGGTTGTTCACCACAATGTGCACCGATCCGCCAGTCTGGAAGTCAGGTAGTTGTGACAGTGCCAGAGCCTCCGTGACACACCCTTGTCCAGCAAATGCGGCGTCTCCATGCAACAGCAGCGCCATCGCGTTGGCATGGACATCACCATCGTTCTTGGCACGTACTTTCCCTGCCGCCACAGCGTTAATGATCTCCAGATGCGACGGATTATGCACGAGTGACACGTGCACGTTTTTGCCCGCGTACTTCTTGTCCACTGTCGTGGCAATGTGCGACGAAACGTCATCAATGCCCCGGAAGTTGTCGGGGAACTCCGAGTAGCCGCGCACCTTGTGGAAAATCTTGTGTGCAGGGTAGTCGAGCGACCCGACGAGGAGGGCGAGTCGACCGCGGTGCGGCATGCCAATCACCACGTCCGAAATGCCTGACGTCGTGCACGCTTGAAGCACCGTCTCTACTGCTGGCAGCATGGACTCGGCTCCTTCGCCCGAGTACCTCTTGAAGGACGCAAACTTCTTGGCCATGAAGGTCTCGAACACGTCGGCACGCATCATACTCGAGTAGGCATTGCGCAAGTCGGCAGGCGTCGCGTCGTTTGTGGTGGTGGCAGTCTCCGCCGCACAGGCCAGCCACGCCTTCTCCTCCCTTGACGTCAAGTGCTCGAACTCATAGCCCGTTTTGCCGCAGTACACGCGGTGCAGCTCATCGTAGAGCTGCTGGCCAGTGGCTGCCGAGACCGCAACAACGCGAGCCAGATCTGCCGCGACCAGAGACCGGTCGAGCAACGGGTGGAAGTTCTCAACGGCGAGACTGGCAACGGCCGTGCGTGGCTGGAGCTGCAGTGGATCCAGCTCTGCCTCCAAGTGGCCGTATTGGCGAAACGCCGTCGCCATGGACTGCGCGGCCAGAGCTTCGAGCGAAGGGGCTGCTGAGAAACGGACCTTAGGGACCAGCACCGAGCGGAGCTCTTGGACGGACCAGTGCGTCCGGCAACTCGAGACACGACGCAGCATGGGAGACGGGGGTTGGTGCTGCGAGCGGTGGCTTGACGAATGGACCGGACCCTGTCGAGCTTGTGGAGACTGAGGGAGCTGCTACGTGTGACGCCACGTGGTGCGACGGTAGTGTCCAAACAGATACTACCGACTGTCGATGGCAGGTGTCGGCCGGTGATGGAGGTCCGGGGCCGAAGTGCCTGCGGAGAGGGAGGGAACCAACCGGGAGGGGAATCCCGGAATCCAATCGCAGGATAGGACGGCCACTGACCGCATACAAAAGACGAGATGATTCGGCGCCTTGAAGTGCAGCTCGACCCCACCTGGTTCCTCACGGAAGGGTGTCGAAAGCCGTCCAGTGCATGCGTCCTCCCCTCCCTCTTGGGCTGGGTTCGTTTGCTTCCACAGCAGCGCTGCAACTCGGTCACGCCCAGTCACGTGATGAGGACGTCCCAGCAAGCTCTGATCAGTCTTTCGACAACAGGGACGGGCTGAGGAGCAGGGACGGGCTGACTCGTCCCTCCAGTGTCGCTCACGTCGGAAAGAAGCGCTGAGTGAGTCGTTGACAGGCTTACAATCCAGTGGCTCGGTATCGATCGCCCATCCACGTGCAGGAGACCGCCATCTCCTGGACGCCAGTGACAGTCTAAACGTGCTGAGGCAGGTGACGTGTCCCGCTTTCCTCTCGACTCGTAGCTACAGTTCTCACTGCACTGCTGTCGTTTACGCCGTGGTCATACGCGGGACCTCCCACTGCATCTGATCCGCTGTCGATCTCACAAGCACTTCCTTGCACTTGCCCCGAGGTGATGAGCCAGAAGGCAGCAAAAGCTTTGAGCTTTTCGTCAACGACGTGTAGACTGCAGACTGACCAAATCTGTCCGTCACCGTCCTGGGGTCACCAGCCCACAGCCTCGTCAACGACATCCGGCTACCTTCCTATCCGCTTGTAGCTCCTCACATGACTCAGTCGTGGTTCAAGGGGTCAGACAGAGAGACACCAATGGGTCAATGAGCGTGATCTTGAGTAATCAATCGGTCCGTCCCACTCTGACGTCCACTCGTCAGTCAGTCGGTCAGTCAGTCGGTCGGTCCGTCGTCTGTCAACTTGACCGCAGGTCGGAGACGTGTCGTGTCCTTGCACTTGACTCAGGTGATCCACTCGTGTGATCCGCTCGGCCGCGTCTCTGTTGCAATCAACGGGGCAAGGCGCTTCCTCGTGCTGGAGTCATCACTCCAGCAGACCGCGAATGACATGGAGCGCAGCAACGACGTCGCGTCTTCATCATGCGTGACCCCAGCAGACCAAACCGAATGCCGCGGATCACCAACATGCACAGCAGCTCTTCCTCCTCTTCACTCGTCAACTTGATCTCTTCCGCCCAAATCGATCGATCCTCAACCGCTCAATGTGGTCCAGCGCACGTCACGACGGAACGCAGCAATCGGTCCTGCTGGCAGTCGGTGCACTGACGGCCGTCTACGCCTCGTGGAAGCTCCTGAGTCTGCCTGTGCCAGTGCCGGATCCAGGAATGGAGACGCTCTTCCGACCGTCATCGACACTGCCGATCCTGGGCAACACGTTGGACGTGCTGCTCTTCAATCGCTACCGCATGAGCGACTGGATCAACGACCAGACCGACGCAAGTGGAGGCAAACCGTGGCTCCTCCAGCTGCTCTTCCAACCTCCGTGGGTCGTGCTCTCCTTGCCGAACGACCTCCACGACGTCTTTGTCGACAAGTTTGACGTGTTCGAGAAGGGCGGAGCTCTCCAAGACATTTCCTTCGACGTCCTGGGCAATGGACTGCTCAATGTGAACGGTGCCAAGTGGAAGCAGCAACGTCGAGCTGCCAGTCACCTCTTCTCGACCAAGAGTATCCGGCAGGTCATGGAGCCCGTGATCCGCGAGAAGACGCGGCAACTGCGAGACGTCCTTGCCCAGTGTGCCAAGCGTGGCCAGACGGTCAGCATGAAGTCGCTCTTGGGCAAGTTCACGAGTGACGTGTTCACTCGCATCGGGTTCGGCGTCGAGCTCGACCAACTTGCTGGCGATGTGCTTCTGGACGAGATGCACCCTCTTGACATCGCCCTGCGCGCCGTGCAGAACCGTTTCCAGACGCCCATGTGGATGTGGAAACTCCAGCGGTTCTTCAACGTTGGGGCGGAGAAGCGGCTTCGAGCCAACATGAACATCGTGAATGACATGGTGCGGGACATCATGGTTCGATCCATGAGAGAGGCGCAATCGACTGGCGAGGACCAGCTCAACGTCTTGGCGCTCTTGATGAGGGACAATGCCAACGCGAACCCGCGCGAGCTCCAGGACACGGCTGTCAACTTCTTCATCGCCGGGAAAGACACGACGTCGTTCAGCCTGTCGTGGCTCATCGTGATGATGAACCGATACCCTCGCGTGTTGCAAAAGATTCGCGAAGAGCTTCGAGCCGTGGTCCCGGGGCTCTTGACTGGAGAAACGGACGTCCCAACGCTTGAGGAGACGCAGCAGCTTGTCTACCTGGACGCCGCAGTGAAAGAGAGCGTGCGGCTGCAGTCCGTCTCCACGTACCGATGCACGACTCGAGACGCGACGCTTTCCGATGGCGCTTTCATCACGAAAGGGACCGTCGTGGTCGTTTCCAAGTACGCAGCTGCCCGCCGCAAAACCGTGTGGGGGGGGACGACGCGGCCGAGTACAGACCCGAGCGCTGGTTCGACGAGGCAACAGGAGCGCCCAAGAACATCACGCCGCCGCAGTTCATCACGTTCAGCACGGGACCACGCAAGTGCATTGGCATGCGTCTCGCCATGCTCGAGATGAAGACTGTCATGGCCGTTCTCTTCAGTCGCTTCGAGATCGAAACAGTGGAAGACCCGTTCGAGATCACCTACGACTTTTCCTTCGTGCTGCCGGTGAAAGGCCCGCTGGCTGTGCGTGTCCGTGAACTCGCCGCATGCTGCGCGTAGACTTCATTCGTAGCACTCTGGTTCTCCCATTGCACATCAGTGAAGGACTTCTGTATTCTGACGCAACACATGAATGTCTGCAACGTGGTCGTAATGCACCGGATGTAAACGGTAGTTCGTGTGGCTCCATCGAAGGTTGTCGTATCATGGAAGAACATGGCGTCCATGGGAATCAAGCGAAAGGAGGCTATTGATGCAGGAGCGGCTATTGGCCTGGACGTAGCGTGTACATCTGAAGCAAGCTCTTAATCGATCACTTTCTCTTTTGCAATCTCCAAACAACATCGTCGTTTTCATTCTTATCACGTCATGAGACCAAATAGAGCTTGCGCCATGTCCAACCCAACGAAAGAAGGTCATCGACAAATTGCACGGTGAATTATACGACACGGGTACACTACATGCGCGATGTGCTCCTGACGGAGTCGTCATGGAACGTCGTAAGCGCGAGTCGGCGGCGACTTTTACCGCAACTCGAGTCCAGGACAAGTAGGTGCGGAAGAACAACATCGACATAGGCCTGCTACTTTTGCACATCGAGACAGAGTGCCATCTCCTAGTGGACGACTACGAAAAAGGGTGGGTCGCCTGGTCACGTCTCGGGGCTCTTAATGTGTGATCTTAGAGACCGCCCGCGTCTACCTGAATCGTCAATTTTTTGCATGGTCATGGAAAAAGGCGACAATCTGTTGCACTACTACAACGAGTTCCCTAAAATACATTTCAATATACAAATTGTCCGTACTGGCGTCGCGATGGAAAACGAAGAGGCGGAAATTTGTCTGCTGCGCAGTTTGCTGGAGAGGTATGATGATGTCATGCGGCACGTCGAAATAATCCGACAAAAAGGCTTGTCTTGATAATTTCGACGCGCTATCAAAGCACTCAACATTGCAAGCATCAAGCGCTCAGACGAGAAGGAGAATGTTAGAAAGATGACACAGCGAATGGAACGGGATATGTAACGGGGCACCCTGAAGCTTGTACTGATGACAGTACAAGCTACTTATTCTGATGACAGAATAAGGCGGTGTCTCGTGACTTCACGTACACTCGTACGTGCAGAGGAAGACGGTAAGAAGAAGCGAGTACTCGGTTAAAGTAAAAAGTAGAACTGTATTTATAATAGTTAATGTCTGCAATAAATCACTATTTATCTTCATCTAACTATGTCTAAATACAAATGTGTAAATCAGTTATCTGCTCACCACTCATTGTGTAGCGGGGTGAATCGTTACATAACAATTTATAAGAAATTGTTAATAGAATATAACTATAAGAGTTTAATTCTCAGAATATTATCATAAGGACAAATATTCTGTAGCACTTACGAGTAGTTCCTAATTGGTTGATATATGCCATTATATCAACCAACGAAGACGCGCCACGACAGACGCACGCAATGAGTGGTGAGCAGATAACTGATTTACACATTTGTATTTAGACATAGTTAGATGAAGATAAATAGTGATTTATTGCAGACATTAACTATTATAAATACAGTTCTACTTTTTACTTTAACCGAGTACTCGCTTCTTCTTACCGTCTTCCTCTGCACGTACGAGTGTACGTGAAGTCACGAGGCACCGCCTTATTCTGTCATCAGAATAAGTAGCTTGTACTGTCATCAGTACAAGCTTCAGGGTGCCCCGTTACACCTGGTAGCACTTCGTAGTCCGTCCAAGGACCACGTTCACATCCAACATGAATATGTTGGATGATGAAGATGACCAAAGCTTTCACGCTACGCGTGACGGCTACTCCCATTTGAGCAATGTCGAATGGGATGCGGTTGAACGTATGGGTTCAACCATGGGCATCCATGCTGTTAGCGTCATGCTGGAGGCTCTCGATAGAGGTGCCCAACATGCTACTATCGCCAAGTTCATTCAAAATGAACTTGACGCTGAACGCGAGAAAGTAGCCTTGCTTCACCAACAAGGTTCTCAACAAGCAGAGTTGTTGAGAGAACAGGGTGCTCAACAGTTTGAACTGTTGAGACAGCAGCAGGCTGCTGCTGGTGGGTCGATGCACTCGCGTCGACCCGAGACCTTGAAGATTGACATCTCCAAGTATAGGGGAGTCGAAGAGGACTCCCTCTTGAGATGGTTCATCGAATTGGATGACGCCATAAGGGCGCGTCGCATCGACGATGGGGAAATGCAAGTTGCATTTGCCCAATCAAATCTGGCAGGACGTGCCAAGACTTGGGCACTGGGGCTCAAGTTGCACGACCCATATGCGTTTGGGTCGTTGGAAGTCTTCAAGTCGCGGCTCAGACAAACGTTTGAACCGCATAGAGCTGAGTTCAGAGCTTGAACCGAACTCTTGAAGCTCAAGCAGGGTAAGCGTGATGTGCACGCTTACGCGCAACATATACGACATCTCACGAGTTGTATAAGTTCCAATCCGGTGGATGAACACACGTTGGTTTCGGTGTTCATGCAGGGTCTTGCGGATGGTCCCGTCAAGACTCACCTGTTCCGGCTTGAACTAGATTCACTAGAACAAGCCATTTCCATTGCGGAACAGGAAGACTTCAGTCTGAGACAGGCTCGCGCCAGCTCGACATCATATCGTCAACCGAGACGATATGACAACGGAGGTCCAGAGCCGATGGAACTCTGCTATGTAGAGAGCGAGAAGGCTCTCTCTACAGGCTACAAGAAGTTGCAGAGATGCAACAGATGTCAAAAGACAGGACACTGCGCTTACGAGTGTAGTGCCCCTCGTCCAGTGTCTCGCGACACTGGTCGTAGTGACCGTCCACCCATGAGAAAGGGGCAGGGACGCGGGTCCGTTGTTGGTGCAAAGACGCAACAACGGGATGGACCGTCAAAAAACGGTCAGGATCAGTAGGTGCGGAGCACCCTACTGGTCCAGCAACGTCAAGAGAATTTGTAGGCCTCTTGATGAAGGTTGCTCCCAACGCACAAACGTTGTGCGTTGCTGCTCTAGGTAATGAGGACTCACTCATTACCTTGAAACTCGAAGTGACGAATAAGTTGTCCCTTCGAGCTCTAGTCGATTGTGGGGCGTCCAACAATTTTGTGCGACGCCAATCGCTAGAAGATGGTCACTTCAATTACAGTGAATGTGACACACCTCCTACGAGGATGACGGTACGTCTTGCGACAGGCGCATCCGTAACCGTCATGAAGCGTATAGTGAAGATTCACTATACGCTAGAAGATACCCAGTATGACGATGACTTTATCGTATTGGATTTGGATGACAAATTTGATGTCATCCTTGGAATACCGTGGCTCAGAAGGTACGAACCACGGGTAAACTGGCAACATCGAACAGTAACGATGCCTGCCGCTTGTTCATCAGATGGCCATCTGATGAACGTTTTGGGAGCGTCCACAAGCGTGTGGATGTACTACGAGTGAGTGCGATGGCCTCACTTGTGGTACGGTCGTTAGTACGACTGCACAAAACCTTAGTGTAACAAACGGTTACACTTCGGAGCAAAGTTCCGGTGGCTGTGAGGAAACACAGGCTGCGCCGAAGGTCCACCACTCGAATAAGTCGAGTGGACCGGGACAAAGATGTATCCCTAGCGGGGAACATCTAGAAGAGAAACAATCGATCGCTCAGGTTAAGCGAAACGATAATCCTAGATCGACTGGAGAGTCTTTCGTAGAGGATCTCGCTGTGGTTGCGCAACCACAGCTAGAGGAAGTAAAGGGAATAAGTCCCGATAATACAAATACGGCGGAAATAAGTTCCCCGAAACCCGAAGGAATAAGTCCCCGGGAAGCCGAAGGAATAAGTCCTTCGAAGCCTGAGGGAATAAGTCCCCAGGAAATGACAGAGACCTTAAAAGTCATAGTCAATAACGGATCAAGTGTAGGCGCTTATACACTTGATCTGATTGCGCCTCCGAAGTTGACTTCGGAGATCACTCAGTTGCCAACGCTCGAACATAAAAGGTTCTTGCGTGATCTGCGTAGTGGCAAAGTCAAGCAGATCTGCGTACTCGTCGCTGACGACGAGTGTGTGGCCGACATTAGGTCAGCAACAGTGTTTACTGAGAACGAGAGAGTTCTCAGTAGTTCATCTATGGACGAGAGTGTCCTAGATGAAAAGACACGAATTGAGCGATATGACTCCCAATCGTGGGAATCGCTCAAGACAAATCCTCTCTATGAAGATTTGGTTGAATTCAAGGATGTATTCCCTGAAACTGTTCCGTGCGAATTACCGAAGGACAAAGGTATTCGACACGAGGTCAAGCTTAAACCAGGCTCGAAGTATTGTGTCATGAAGCAGTGGCCACTGCCTCGTGAACAAGTACTTGCGATCGACAAGTTCTTTGCCGATCGTTTAGCTGCGAGGCCATGTGAGGGAATCAACTTCCCCACATAGCTCTCCGACCTTCTGTGTGCGAAAAGCAACAGGAGGGTGGCGGATAGTGCATGCATTCAATAAGTCGAATGCTGCAACGGTACCGGCACAGACGCCGATACCGAGGAAGGACGTAATCATTGATGGTATGTCAAAGAGTACCATCTTTTCGTCCATGGATTTGATGGATGGCTTCTATCAAATCCTTATGCGAGAACGGGATATACCCTATACCGCAGTTAGCACGCCTAGCGGCATGCTCTGGGAATGGCTAGTAATGCCACAAGGGCTTAGTAATGCCCCTGCCACGTTCAACAGATGTGTATCACATCTGTTGAGACCAGTACGAGAATTCGCGCCGAGTTATTTCGATGACGTATTCATCCATAGTCGGGCTATGGATGGAAAGTCGGACGTTGAGGTTCACAGGTACCACGTCCGACAGGTTCTTACAATCATGCGAAAGCATCAATTGTATGCAAACCTCAAGAAGTGTATATTTGCAGCAAGCGAAATACCACTTCTTGGGTGCATCGTTGGTAAGAACGGTGTACGTCCTGATCCCGAAAAAGATCAAGGCGATCACCGACTGGCCTGTGCCAGTCGATGTCAAAGGTCTTCGAAAATTCCTTGGGCTAGCGGCGTATTTGCACAAGTATTCACGCAATTACGCCGAAATGACTGTGCACCTCTCTCGTTTGTTGAAAAAGAACGAGAGGTGGTTATGGAACGCTGAATGTCAGCGCTCCTTTGAGGGTATCAAGAAGAGCATGATACAATCCTCAGTCCTAGCAATTGCCGATCAGGACAGGCCATTTCATGTGGTCTGTGATGCCAGCGATTTTGCAATCGGCTGTGCATTAATGCAGTACGAACTTGAAGGCGTTGAACGCGTCGTCTGCTATCAGTCGCGTCAGCTGCAACCAGCTGAGCGGAACTACCCAGTGCATGACAAGGAACTCCTTGCCATGAAGTATGCACTCGCGAAGTTCAGAGTCTATCTATTAGGAGATAGACCCTTCATTGTTTATACTGACCATGCGTCATTACGCACGGCAGTGAACAGCCCGCACCTTTCGCAACGAATGGCGCGGTGGTTGTCATTCTTTGCGGAATACAACTTTACGGTTGAGTACAAACCAGGACGACTTAATGTCGTCGCTGATGCACTCTCACGTCGTCCCGACTTTGAAACAGTCGCGAAACCCAACAGTGATACAGTCACTATTGCGGTTATGACGTCCTCAGTCCCATCTACAACGTTGTAAGATGATGTGAGGCGGGCATACGCCCAAGATGGTGAGATAGTGAAGTTGTTGACACATCTCTCCCAACCATCTCGAGAATCGTTGAAACGATTGTCGCCTGCGTATCGATCTGCATCAGATCGATACACTACTCGCAACGGGTTACTGTACTATACAGCCGTTTCTGGTGACACACCACGTGTTGTCATTCCAGATGATACTGATCTGCGTTTGCGGATCATGTTCGAGTATCACGATGCTCCTATAGGAGGACATCGTGGCCGGGAGAAAACATATCTCACGGTGAGTCGAGACTTTTACTGGCCCCGCCAGTATCAGTTTGTGCGCAAGTACATTCGCGCATGCGAAGTCTGTCAACGAGTGAAGTCAAGTCCTTCACTGCGTGCACCTTTACAGCCTCTACCGGTTCCGGCTGAGTGCTGGGAATCCATCTCAATGGATTTTGTCTTCGGGTTACCCAAAGACGCACGCGGGAATACGGGTATTCTCGTTTTTGTTGACAGATTCAGCAAAATGGTACACCTTGTGGCTGTACCAGAGTCAATCACAGCAAGTGACTGTGCTTGTGTCTTTATTGACACCATCTTCCGACTTCATGGGTTGCCCCGTGAACTCGTATCAGACAGAGATCCACGATTCACTGCTGATTTCTGGCGTTCCGTGTTCAAATCACTCGGTACGCGCTTGAAGATGTCGACATCTGATCATCCAGAGTCAGATGGTCAGACGGAACGTGCCAATCGTGTCCTCGAAGAGATACTTCGAGGATACGTACACTCCTTTAAGAGTTGGAGTGAGTTCTTGCCAATGGTAGAGTTTGCCATTAACAACTCGGTGCATGCGTCCACGACACATACACCGTTTTACGTGAATGGCTTACGCCATCCGCGAGTACCCACCTTACTAGAGTGTGACTCTGGTTTAAGGGGGGGAGGGACTCGCGCGAGCAAAAACCGATTTGGTTCACGCTCATCACGCTCTGACGATGAGGTCATTGCGTTTGATGCCGATATCGACAACATCGATATCAAAGAAGATGATGCCAGTGATAGTGCGGAAGCCCTCACTGAAGAAAAGATTGATGTTGCTGCAGTGCACTCACAGCGCACTGAAGCTAACGAGCCAGCAGATGAGTTCATACTGGCTCGTGAAACGGTAGTCCGTTTTGTGCAAGACTTCATCGCCGAAGCGGTGGATAAGCAAAAGCAAAACGCTGACAAGAATGGAAGGGCAAACACTCTTTTATTCAATAAGGGTGACCTAGTCCTACTGTCTACGGTTAATCTACCAAAGCATGTAGTGACTAACTTGGGTAGCAGTAAACTACTACCCAAGTACATTGGCCCATTTCGTGTATTGCACCGCCTAGGCAATGCATACACGATCGAGTTACCACGTAAGATGCGAACGCATCCCACGTTTTACGTTGGTCGGCTTAAGCCGTACCACCAGTACGCAGCTTCTTTCTATGAAGAACGCCCTTGCGCTCAAGCATCTCGCAGAGAGCCTTGTGCTCCCGATGGTGGGCATCAACAAGGGTCTGAAGAGCAGCTATCTCATCCCGAGACCGATCAACAATCCCACGAGCTACCCTTAGCTCGTCACGAAGAGATGTCAGAGATCTCTCGTTCTCAAGCTGAGCAAAGGCAAACTCAGCTCGATGCTTCGAGGCAGTGTCCGCCATTTGGAGACGTCTATTCCGCTCATGTTCGAGATCGTCGCGTAACCCTTGCGTTACGCGATCAAAAAGCTCTCGGGAACACACCGATCCACATGATCGTGTGGAGAGCGTCTTTCCTCCTCCTCCACCTCCATTAGAAAACTCTCGCGGTGGCCAGCGCTATCTAGTTGAGCAGCTGTTGAACCACCGCGACGTGAACGGACGTCGGACGAGTTATCTCGTCCGGTGGCGCGGCTATCCCCCGTCCTGGGATTCTTGGGAGCCCCGCTCCCAACTGATGATCGACGTACTGGGTCTGGTTGAGCAGTACGACGCGGCACATCCTGTGCCGCAGAAGGACCGCCGGAGAAAGTCTTCCCGGCACGGTCGTAAAGGGATTTCAGGTTGTCAATCCCTTCGTACATCTCAGTAGAGATACGTACGCGCCACCACGGGCTAGTAAGGAGGTAAGCCTCCTTAGGTGCTCGTGCAGAGTTGTTCACACAACACGGGCACGAGTCTCCCCAAGAAAGGCAGAGTAATCCTTTCTCCCTTGACAGACGATGCAGCTTGTAGCGTGCACCTGTCGGGGTTCGCTTTTCAAACTTATCACGAGCTTTGATAAGTTTGTCGTTCCAAGCGTCACGACCTACATCCTCGAGGTTATGGATATAGGCGTTCCACGCTTGAAGCAGTGAGGGACCATCACGTTTGTGATTCCCACTGTACCATCGATGTCTAAAGAAAGCATCGATGAAGAATTCACTCTCAGCGCGATAGTTTTTCGCGCTGGGGTCAAGGTGATGGATCCTTGACGAATCGAACGACCGTGTTCGATAACAATCACTCGTCGTCGCCGACAAGTGATCCATGACGGATTTAGGAGGCATCCATGCCTTCTTCTCGGGAGCGAGACGCAACACGTTGCGTTCCCGCTCTTCCTGCGACGTGCCGACAGAAGGACTGGCACCTCGTTGCGAAGTGGTGTCCATAGGAGAACCGACACCACTGTTAGCGCCCGAGTCTCGCGACCTCTAGAGCCTTCGCTTCGGCGATAGTTCATCTGATTCATTAGATGAACCAAAGATGCTGCGACGCAAAGCATCATCCATGCCACGCTTGGCAGGCGGCTTGGATTCAATCACCGTCGATACGGATCCGTCTTCCGTATCAGGAGAGTATGAGACACCGAGCTCATACTCTGTGAAGACATGAGTGTCTTCATGACTAGCGCCTGCATCACCAAATGACACAGGCTGAGTCGCTTCAGCAACCGATGAGACATCAGTTGCTGTGGTTTCTGCTTCGGCGTCCGCACAGAGACGTGCGGACGCGCTCTCGGCGGCCTTGCTCGCGCATCGCATGGGATTGTTAACCATGCGATGAATTGTTGGAAAGTGGACTCGAACCAACAAGTGCAAACCCTGTCCCAAATGATTCGGGACGAGTATCCATTTAGTCAATCAGTCACTAAAGTGACTGATGGTTAGGGGGGTGATGTAACGGGGTGAATCGTTACATAACAATTTATAAGAAATTGTTAATAGAATATAACTATAAGAGTTATATTCTCAGAATATTATCATAAGGACAAATATTCTGTAGCACTTACGAGTAGTTCCTAATTGGTTGATATAGGCCATTATATCAACCAACGAAGACGCGCCACGACAGACGCACGCAATGAGTGGTGAGCAGATAACTGATTTACTTGTACTATGACATTTGTACTTAGTACTTAGTAGATGAAGATAAATAGTGATTTATTGCAGACATTAACGATGATAAATACAGTTCTACTTTTTACTTAACCAAGTACTCGCTTCTTCTTACCGTCTTCCTCTGCACGTACGAGTGTACGTGAAGTCACGAGGCACCGCCTTATTCTGTCATCAGAATAAGTATGTCTTGATACATGTCATCAGTACAAGCTTCAGGGTGCCCCGTTACACATTGCGTGCGTCTGTCGTGGCGCGTCTTCGTTGGTTGATATAATGGCCTATATCAACCAATTAGGAACTACTCGTAAGTGCTACAGAATATTTGTCCTTATGATAATATTCTGAGAATATAACTCTTATAGTTATATTCTATTAACAATTTCTTATATATTGTTATGTAACGATTCACCCCGTTACATCACCCCCCCCTTAACCATCAGTCACTTTAGTGACTGATTGACTAAATGGATACTCGTCCCGAATCATTTGGGACAGGGTTTGCACTTGTTGGTTCGAGTCCACTTTCCAACAATTCATCGCATGGTTAACAAGCCCATGCGATGCGCGAGCAAGGCCGCCGAGAGCGCGTCCGCACGTCTCTGTGCGGAAGCAGAAGCCACAGCAACTGATGTCTCATCGGTTGCTGAAGCGACTCAGCCTGTGTCATTTGGTGATGCAGGCGCTAGTCATGAAGACACTCATGTCTTCACAGAGTATGAGCTCGGTGTCTCATACTCTCCTGATACGGAAGACGGATCCGTATCGACGGCGATTGAATCCAAGCCGCCTGTCAAGCGTGGCATGGACGATGCTATGCGTCGCAGCATCTTTGGTTCATCTGATTCATCAGATGAACCATCGCCGAAGCGAAGGCGCTCGAGGTCGCGAGACTCGGGCGCTAACAGTGGTACCGGTTCTCCTATTGACACCACTTCACAGCGAGGTGCCAGTACTTCTGTCGGCACGTCGCAGGAAGAGCGGGACCGCAATGTGTTGCGTCTCGCTCCTGAAAAGAAGGCATGGATGCCTCCTAAATCCGTCATGGATCACTTGTCGGCGACGACGAGTGATTGTTATCGAACACGGTTGTTCGATTCGTCAAGGATCCATCACCTTGACCCCAGCGCGAAAGACTATCGCGCTGAACATGAATTCTTCATCGATGCTTTCTTCAAACATCGATGGTACAGTGGGAATCACAAACGTGATGGTCCCTCACTGCTTCAAGCGTGGAACGCCTATATCCATAACCTCGAGGATGTAGGTCGTGACGCTTGGAACGACAAACTTATCAAAGCTCGTGATAAGTTTGAAAAGCGAACCCCGACAGGTGCACGCTACAAGCTGCATCGTCTGTCAAGGGAGAAAGGATTACCCTGCCTCTCTTGGGGAGACTCGTGCCCATGTTGTGTGAACAACTCTGCACGAGCACCTAAGGAGGCTTACCTCCTTACTAGCCCGTGGTGGCGCGTACGTATCTCTACTGAGATGTACGAAGGGATTGACAGCCTGAAATCCCTTTACGACCGTTCCGGGAAGACTTTCTCCGGCGGTCCTTCTGCGGCACAGGATGTGCCGCGTCGTACTGCTCAACCAGACCCAGTACGTCGATCATCAGTTGGGAGCGGGGCTCCCAAGAATCCCAGGACGGGGGATAGCCGCGCCACCGGACGAGATAACTCGTCCGACGTCCGTTCACGTCGCGGTGGTTCAACAGCTGCTCAACTAGATAGCGCTGGCCACCGCGAGAGTTTTCTAATGGAGGTGGAGGAGGAGGAAAGACGCTCTCCACACGATCATGTGGATCGGTGTGTTCCCGAGAGCTTCTTTGATCGCGTAACGCAAGGGTTACGCGACGATCTCGAACATGAGCGGAATAGACGTCTCCAAATGGCGGACACTGCCTCGAAGCATCGAGCTGAGTTTGCCTTTGCTCAGCTTGAGAACGAGAGATCTCTGACATCTCTTCGTGACGAGCTAAGGGTAGCTCGTGGGATTGTTGATCGGTCTCGGGATGAGATAGCTGCTCTTCAGACCCTTGTTGATGCCCACCATCGGGAGCACAAGGCTCTCTGCGAGATGCTTGAGCGCAAGGGCGTTCTTCATCGGAAGAAGCAGCGTACTGGTGGTACGGCTTAAGCCGACCAACGTAAAACGTGGGATGCGTTCGCATCTTACGTGGTAACTCGATCGTGTATGCATTGCCTAGGCGGTGCAATACACGAAATGGGCCAATGTACTTGGGTAGTAGTTTACTGCTACCCAAGTTAGTCACTACATGCTTTGGTAGATTAACCGTAGACAGTAGGACTAGGTCACCCTTATTGAATAAAAGAGTGTTTGCCCTTCCATTCTTGTCAGCGTTTTGCTTTTGCTTATCCACCGCTTCGGCGATGAAGTCTTGCACAAAACGGACTACCGTTTCACGAGCCAGTATGAACTCATCTGCTGGCTCGTTAGCTTCAGTGCGCTGTGAGTGCACTGCAGCAACATCAATCTTTTCTTCAGTGAGGGCTTCCGCACTATCACTGGCATCATCTTCTTTGATATCGATGTTGTCGATATCGGCATCAAACGCAATGACCTCATCGTCAGAGCGTGATGAGCGTGAACCAAATCGGTTTTTGCTCGCGCGAGTCCCTCCCCCCCTTAAACCAGAGTCACACTCTAGTAAGGTGGGTACTCGCGGATGGCGTAAGCCATTTACGTAAAACGGTGTATGTGTCGTGGACGCATGCACCGAGTTGTTAATGGCAAACTCTACCATTGGCAAGAACTCACTCCAACTCTTAAAGGAGTGTACGTATCCTCGAAGTATCTCTTCGAGGACACGATTGGCACGTTCCGTCTGACCATCTGACTCTGGATGATCAGATGTCGACATCTTCAAGCGCGTACCGAGTGATTTGAACACGGAACGCCAGAAATCAGCAGTGAATCGTGGATCTCTGTCTGATACGAGTTCACGGGGCAACCCATGAAGTCGGAAGATGGTGTCAATAAAGACACAAGCACAGTCACTTGCTGTGATTGACTCTGGTACAGCCACAAGGTGTACCATTTTGCTGAATCTGTCAACAAAAACGAGAATAACCGTATTCCCGCGTGCGTCTTTGGGTAACCCGAAGACAAAATCCATTGAGATGGATTCCCAGCACTCAGCCGGAACCGGTAGAGGCTGTAAAGGTGCACGCAGTGAAGGACTTGACTTCACTCGTTGACAGACTTCGCATGCGCGAATGTACTTGCGCACAAACTGATACTGGCGGGGCCAGTAAAAGTCTCGACTCACCGTGAGATATG